TCCAATGGAAAAGTGGGAAAATTACTATACAAATTTACTCCGTCCAGATTGGAATATATGAGACAGGAATACAGTATGGAGAAACAAACAAATAGTAACATTAATACTACTAACAACGAGGGCCATACTGTGTTAACTAAAATAAAAAACGGGCGATCCCAGGACCTGGCAATGTAGTTGTAGAGTTACTTAAAGCAGAAGGTCCACTCCTAATAGAATAACTTTTCTAATGAATCCATGCTGCCAATAAATTAAAGTACCATTTGAATGGAAAACCGCTTATCAAGTGTCCATCTTTAAAAAGTGCAATCGAAAAGATTCCCACTCCTGCAGACGATTAAGTGTCCTACCTACTTTCGGGAGATTGTTTGGAAATATAATAAATTTAAAAAGACAAGATGATATAGGACATCTAATCAGCAAATACCAAAGTGGATTTACGCCTGGTAGATCTTGCACTGGTAACTTGTTTATATTTCAACAATTAATAGAAAAAAGAATAGCAGTTGGTACCAAAGTACATCTAGCCTTCATCTACCTAGGAAAGGCGTATGATACAGTTCCAAGACTTCAATCGTGACAAGCTATACAGCAACTCGGCATTAATCCATACCTTTTAGAAATAATCATAGAAGTATACAGTGATAACACTTCTTACCTAAAAGTCGGAAATGTACTATCAGAGCCAATAAAAATAACTAAAGGACTAAAACAAGGATGCAGTATGTCACCCTTACTGTTTAATTTATATATTGAGGCAGCCCTCCAAAATTGGAAAAACCACTGCCAGGGAATGGGAATCCATGTAGGAAATGACGTACCTACTGTTCTCCCTGAACTTTGCAGATGACCAAGTCGTCCAAGCTCAAGATTCTGTTGACCTAGAATTTATGATAAAGCGTCTATACAGAGAATATGTAAAATAGGGGTTACAAGTCAGCGTGAAGAAAATAAAATATTTAGTTAAAAATTCAGATGTAAGGTTTGAAGTGTTGATAGACGAGGACGTGGAAATCAAACAAGTGGAAAAATTTAAATATTTAGGTGCACTCAACGATAAGAATAGCTTAGGAGAAACCGAAATTAAACACCGAATTAATCATGGATATAAAATTGTAGGATTTCTGAACTCCTTATGGTGTGATCGCAACATTTCCAAAAGAAACAAAAAAAAAATAGGGCAAACCATCGTTGAATCAGTTCTTTGTTATGGTTTGGAAGTATGGACAATTAATGGAGACCTGAAGAGAAAATTCTTAGCAGTTGAAATTAATTATATAAAAGGAATTGCTAGAATATCAAAGCTGGAAAGGAAGACCAACGAATTTATAAGAAATAACATGAATGCTACAGAAATGGACATTTACAAAATAAAAAAAGAGGTTTAAAATGTTTTAAACACCTATTGAGAATGCCTGACGAACGTTGGCCCAAAAACTACACAGACGGAAGCCCCCTGGAAGAAAAAAAGGAGGTAGACCTCGACGCTCATGGAATGAAGGAATTAGAAGAGCGATGGAATCGAGAGGTTTACTACGTGGTAGTAAAGTGAATAGTGAACAGTGTAGTAGTGTCTTGGGGCTCGGGAGACTGAGACTTCGGAAGCCCTGAGGAAACATCAGAGAGGATGTCAAAAGCTAGTCCCAATGGATATCGACGCGGTTCAACCCGAAAGACTCTAAAACTAAAAAGGACACTAAAAGCGGATAATATAAAGATGTTGGAATCATTTGAGATGTGGAAGACGTTACAAATGCAGAAGTGTTAAGAAGGCTACAAAAGGATTGCGAGTTCATAAAGCATATCAAAACAAGAAAGCTGGAATATTTAGGCCACATCACCAGAAGTGCGAAATATGAGATATTAAGGCTCATAATGCAAGGTAAAATCAAAGGTAAAAGATCCATAGGCAGACGAAGAATTTCCTGGCTGAGAAACCTAAGAGAGTGGTATAAATGTAGCTCAGTGGATCTTTTTAGAGCAGGCGCCAATAAGGTAAGGATAGCTGTGATGATAGCCCACTTCCGATAGGAGAAGGAACTACAAGAAGAGGATAATGAAAGGAAGCAGATACGGGATAATGCAGTTGATATCCAACGGAAAGATCGACGGAAAAAAAGGAATTGGTAGGAAGAAATACTCACGGCTCCGAAACCTTGCAGCGCAAGATAGAGAACGATATTGGCAAATCGTCATGGAAGCTACCCATGCCTAAAACTTGGTCACGGTACTCAAAGAAGAAGAATAGTGAACCGTGAAATAAGACATATAACATAACCAAATGGAAAGACCATAATAAAATTAATTAAAGCACAAATACTGAGCTGGTTTGGACACATACAAGGATAAAAAGACGACGCATTAATTAGGAAGATAAACTGAAAATCAGTAAGAAAAAGACCAAAAGGAAGACCAAAAATAAGATGGAGAGACCTACTACTAGGGGATATATCAAAGATGGAAATTGTAAACTGGAGAGAAAAGACTCACGGTCAAATAAAGTGGAAAAATAGTAGACAAAGCAAAAATACATTAATCTAGCTCAAAGAATATATGTACACTAATCCAACGCATTAAATAGATTAAAGATCTCGAGGAGTATTGCGCGACCTGTACTCTACCAAGAGTCTTCGGTCCATACATAATGGTAGTATCCAGACAGAAAAAAAGAATACACATTAAGATAAATGGTACGGACATAGAACAAGCAGAATCGTAAAAATAATTAGGACTTAAAAACAGACCATCGGGGTAGTAAAAAAAAAAAGAAATAAACAATAGAATAAAAATGCCAAAAGTGTATTATATCTCATAATCCATACAAATATAAAATGGAAATATCCCAAAAGGCAAAACTAGTCATTTTAAGACCATCTACAGACCGACAGTTAGTTGTATCTGTGATGTAATATTTAATTTAAATAAAATATTTAAAGAGTCAAAATTATTTTATCAATAGACAAAGTGAGAAATAAAATGATTAGATGTCTGAATCTTCAATAAATAACACCAAGCAAGACCAAACATTGCATGATTCCAAAAAAATAACAAAAAACAAGTAGAACGGGATAACTAAAAGCGTAAATAGAGTATCAATAAATATATAAAAATAAGATTGTTTCATGAAAATATTCTCCCAAAATACAACGAAGCAATAAGCCGTAGACAAGAAGAAAAATAAGAGAAAATAAATTTTAATACTAACTTCTCTAATAAAACATGAATAATTATTACCAAAAGTTTTTAGTAACTGACACTTGTATATTACTTAGTTAAGTGAGTAAGTTTTAAAATTCAAAAAAAAATTAAATTAGTTGAATAAATCATGTGGCCTAATTACCAAAAAGATACTGTAAAACTATCGAACAATCTCTAAAGAGCATTTAAAAAATATTTTCTTAAGATATTAATAAATTATTTTCTTTTATATATTTTTTATTAGCTTATAAAATATAGATAATGTTAATCTGAAGAATAAACAAAGAGAAGTTTCTGAAATTTCCATTTACCTATCAATCCACATTCTATCATAGAGATAATAAACACATTCTCGTTATCGCGCCAGAAAATCTGAAGAGTATACACAAGAATTACAAAACAAACTTTTGCCAGAGAACAAAATAAACCTCTAAATCCTTGCGTTTTATCCTGTGTTACCGCGTAAAGGATGTAGCGGTGTATCCCGTTAGTATAATAGCCACATCACGGCAACCCGTTGCCAAATACAAAACATATGACAATCCGTTCAAAGTACACCATCTCACTCCATACGTGACGCCTGCGTCTAGCGATCTGTGGCCAAAAAACCGCTTCGAAATTCTCTCTCGCTCTATATTCAAGTTTCCATCGTATTTCCTTCTCTTTCGGGCTCTAGGCCCGGCCCGCTTCTGACCGCAAACAAGATGGGTCTCTCTTACACTCTATCTCCTCTCTATCAGACGTGTACCCTTTATGTTAGCTTCTGTTTTAATCTAGCCGTCCGCCGTCTCTCTCGCTCTCATTTAGTGGGTGTACGACTCTCCCCTGATAAGTAAAGGGTTATCAAACGCGCTGTAGCTACTGCTTTAGTAGACAACATTCCTGCTACTTGTCTTCCTCTAACCACTTATAGCTGGTTATTTTTGGAAATGAACGTATGATGCACGCCGTTTTTGTTAGTTAATCAACAACATACCGGCTAAATCTTTAGTTTTGGTTTAAATGTCGGCAGCAGCGGTAACCAGCAATCCCAATAATATATACTTTTCGATAGAATAGATACGCCGCAAAAAAGTGCCTCGATAACTACCACCCATCCCCCTTTTTCGCGCGCGGAAACGGAATTTAAAAAACCTGCTCACACCTGATCGACTTGCTGTACTAATATGTGTGTGCGTTATTCCAATGATTCCCCACCCCTATAAAAAGTTTTCATTCAGAAAAAGTGTTGACATGTGTTGCTAGGCAACCACCGACGAGAAGCGTGTGGCATGCATTTTTTGACCGACATGTGGAATTTCAAAACTCGACGCTATTGTGCAAAATATTTTCAACTTCAACTAGTGTTCCGCGATAAATATCAACTCAACATCAAACAACATTTTTTGTAAATCATTTACACTCTTGAAATCAGTGAATTAAAAAGTGCTTACAGTAATAATAAGTTTATAAAACGTCATAAACAACTTGTAAAAGACATGCACCGAAACTTTAAACAATTTACACTTCAAAACTTTAAGATAGTGTTGTTAAAATAAAAATTGTTCACTTATGAAAAATTTTCACAACTTGGGAACTCCTTGTTTGAGTTAAAATATGTACCATGTTTTTGTTTACTTATTTATGAAAACTAATGTTAACGATTGTTATGTAAATTAAGAAAACGCACTTCGTGTTTGTTTTGTGATAAAAAAACTTAATTCTGTTGATTTATTGAAAATTTAGTTAAACGACAAAAGTATGAAATCAACAACACCATTTACTGTTTGCTGATGATCGGTGATTGGAATCCGTCTTCAACAATGCATCTAACTAACACTCCTTCCGGTACTGGAGGCACCACCTCCACTCCAGAGGGAACCACCAGCTTGATACAGGACACTTACACGAAAATGACCAGTGATATCCTCGCCGAAAGAACATTAAACGACTTTTTAAGTGAACATCCCGGAGAACTGATTCGAACGGGAAGTCCGCTGTTTGTTTGTACTGTTTTACCGCCTCATTGGAGATCCAACAAGACTCTTCCTGTGGCATTCAAAGTGGTCGCTTTGGGGGACATTGGAGATGGGACTGTGGTGACTGTGAAAGCCGGTAATGACGAGAATTATTGTGCGGAGTTGAGAAACTGTACGGCTGTTATGAAGAATCAAGTTGCGAAGTTTAATGATCTTAGGTTTGTGGGAAGAAGTGGACGAGGTAAGAAATCATTACTTTTTTTTTAAACATCTACGTTTTATGTCTTATTTAAAAAGCATAGTGTTCTGCTGTCATTTGATTTGATGATATGATATAATAAGTTTTCTTACATATTTTTGTATGTTATATATTGTCAACTCATTTTAGTCTTCAAGACTATTTTGTCTGTAGTTTAAAATATTAAAATTCATTAAGCAATTAAAAATTTTCCTGCTTATGTCTTATAGATCTTCAGTTTTTTGTTTCATTTTTTACTATTTGCACAACTTTTATAATATATTATTTTAGATTTCCGAGCTTTAGGAAGATAATTCCGAGTTTCCGAGATATTTTTTAATTTTTTAAAATTTGTGTTAAGATCTCAAATTGTAAACGAAAATTGCATTTGTTATTAATCTGCCTTTTTAGAGCCAAACTGATTTTCATATATTTCGGTTTCTTTACACATATGTCTACCAATAACTTCTTCCTACATTTTAATGGCGTAACTAAGTATTTTGGTGCCTCTAGTGTGTGCATTGATGTATCACCACATTTACTTCGTTTTTGCAAAAATATACTTTTATCTGCAATGTGTTGAACTTCCATAAGTCTATTAAACGAACCTATTGGCCCAAATACTGTTTTTGTCTCTGCTTAAGCTGTCCACACTTTTCCATGAATATCAGCTGGTCTAACTGGTTTCTTCTTATTTTTGTGCCCTGATCAAATATTGTGCGTTGGCTATCAAATTGGCTATACTGATTGTGTTGACGGCAGCTCGCAAAAGGGATGCAGAAGATCTGTTAAACCATTCTCTTAGGCTTTTAATCCAGGACGTTCGTGTTTGATCTGGTCCTTTAATTTCATCTATCTGCCTTGTATTAATAAATGAAGTACATTATATCTCTCTGGATGACGCATAACATGGTCAAAATATTCCATTTAGCGATTTTTGACTGGTCTGACCACTTTCGTATTTTTTTATATTCGCTGCAAAACCACGAATTCGCAGAATCCTCCGATACACCCAGATTTTAAAGTTTTCTCAAAAGTGTATTTGTTAAAACCTTCGATAACATATAAGAGAATAGAGAATACATTCTTCTTCTTCTTGATGTGCCTATCCGTTACCAATGTTGGCAATTATCATGTCAATCTTTATCTTATCTGCAGCAGCCTGGAAAAGCTGCAAAGATGTTATATTGAACCAGATTCTGAGGTTCTTTAACCAAGAACTCTTCTTCTTCCTAGGCCTCGTTTTTAAAATATTTTGTCTTAAATGATGGCTTGAAGTAGAGCATATCTGGATTCATTTCGCATAATACATAATATCTTATTATTCTAATTTTCAGTCTAAAAGTAATATTGTTTCTGCATTATTTTCTTCATCTTAAAAAATGCAGAGCTCTGGCCTTTTCGACACTTATTCTAATTTCTTAACTCATACTCTTCTCATTTAGATTACAACCAAGATAAGTGATTTTTAGTTTTCTTCAGTCGTTCTCCATAAGCTGTTAAAACTTCTGGTTGTATTGGCATTCTACTGACAACCATTACCTTTGTCTTTGTGGTGTTTAGCTTCGGTCCATATTCATCACACGTGCTAATCATATTAATAGGATGTTTAAATTCTACGCAACCATCAATTTATTTACCAATTGGATTACCTTTCTGTATTCTTTTAAGTGGTTGAGCACTTGCTTGTTGGTAATTTTGTTGACCATTGCTGTTACTGTCTTTGTCAATTCAACCAGTTTGCGACCATCATGACAACCTGTGTTTCACAAATTGCTGCTCTGAAAAGTTTTGTGGTTGTTGTGCGTAGCAAAAATCCACGTACGTAGATTTTTCAGCCAGGAAATCCTTCGCCTTCCTGGTCCTTGTTTTCCTTTTTTTCATCTCAGATAAATCTAACCTGATTTAAATATTTTTCCTTCTTTACCCAATACTTTACTACTTTGTATATTTTAGTTTTACTGTTCCCGGTGTATCATGTAGATCTTTAAAAGCTTCTTTTTGGCTTGTGCTATTTTCGCTTTCTTTTTGCAGATTTTATGGTTTTAAATGTCTGCTTTATACGTAATATAGTTTCCTCTTTTAGTTTGACCACTACCACCATATCTCTTTATTCTCAAACTAGGTTTTTAAATATGTACATATAATAGAAGTATCTCTAATAATACCGGCTATATTTCTCCAAATTTTATTAATATTTTTTTCTTGCTTCAGGTCATTTTTTACTATTTTTGCACTGAATAAACCTTCTATATAAATATATAAGTATTTTCTTGTCAAAAAACAGTATATTTGATAATGATTTTATCCAATGTTCTATCCACTTTTGGGTTTTATAGACAAAGACTACTTTATGTATTTTACTGTTATTTTCCTTGTTTTGTTCTTATTCATCTTACTTTTACACACTTCTTAAGATACATGGGATATGTATCTTAAAAATGTTATGATCTGTGGCCTTTCTTTGGTCATCAATTTAATATCCACTCAGCCAATTGTAAAGCAAATTATCACTTGTTGGGGATTTTATTTTTGGAATTGGATTGGATCCCATGATTTGGGTTATAATTATAGAGTATAGATTGTTATTTGTTTTTACTTCCTTCTTTACTTCTATTTTGTCTTACAGTTTTCAGTCATTCAGGATCATTTTACCTTCTTTACTAGTTATTTTTTATTTAATTTTTCATTCTCATTCTGGTCTTTATCATATTGTTGCATATTCAAAAAACTCATTACTCGGATTTGTTGTGAAATTTAAAGGTTTTTGGTGAATATATCTATTTATTAGACACTGAGATTCCAACAGAAACAAAAAATCCATTTTAAGATTGAACTCATAATGGAACGTTTATATTAACTTACATAAATTTATTCTGATATAGTCTTGTCAGCATTTCAGGAAAACAGTTGCTAAGTTTATGGATCGCTTTAAATATTTATTATATTATATTGTTGCTACATGATTTGTTATTTGCTTTAAAGTAAAATCCGCAATTAATATATAGCAGAGTGCCTCTTTATAAGTTCCGTGGAATTATTGGGTTATTTCATTGAGTACGTGTAATCCCGATATTTTCACCGTCATCCAGATGACTGATTGTTTTGTCCATAAGATTTCGTAAAAATGTATACATAAATAACTTCATTCGCTCAATTATATTTTTACTACTAATACCTATTTATTGCTGTTCTGCGAATTTGACACCACTAGCGGGAGGGGGACAAATGGGGCTATTCCCCCCTCCCCCAAGAAGGTCCAAAATTAAAAAAACGTAATGGTTATGTCTTTTGTGTAGTTTGGGTTTATATTTTATATGTCTTTTGATTAATGTTTCATTGGAAATCAAGTTAAAAGTTCCCTTTCCAAGGCAAATGTCTAGATCATCCACTGCTTGATACACAGCAAGTCTTGATGACCAAAGTCATCTAGACTTGCCAAAGTGGGTGTCCGAAGGTGGGCTTTTTAATTGAACTAAAATCAAATTAAAACTATTGCACGTACGGAACATGTTGTTGTCAGTAAAACTCCTAATGTAAATCTCTAAATTCGAATGATAGGTAGATAGTTATGTTGTCACCATAATCTTATATTGTATTCTTAGCAGTATCCTTAAGCAGTTAACAATTATTAAGATAAAATTAAAGGATTTCAACACCAGATGCTACAGGTATTATAAACTAAAATAAAAGAATGCGTCGCGTTTTAAGAGATAGATGTCTTGGCTTATCAATTTCATCCTCCTGCTCCTCAGTCCTAATCCCTTTCGGGATGTGGTGACACCGTCAGACCTTTACAGTTTTTTCACGATTTACCTTCATTCTTCTTTGTCCTGGGCTAGTTGTTCGGCTTCATGTAACCCTTGGTTAATTTATATTATTGTTTAATCTACCCAACGGCTTGGAGATTTTTCCCCCAGGTCTTTTTTTTTTCAACTCTACCCTCAAATATCAGTTTTTCCACCGTACATTTTCTTCTAGCAATGTCTCCAAAATACTGCATATATCTCTCTTGTGTTTGTTTAAGCAATCTATCCTTTACTTTAAGTTGTTCTAATATCGATACGTTAGTGGGATGATCAATCCAGGATATTCTTAACATGCGGCGGTATACTCACATTTTAAAAGCGTCTAGTTTATTTTTATCCGCTTTCTTTAAGGTCCAAGTTTCGAATACATATGTGGAAAAATGGCAAAAATAAGTGCCCTTGCCAGCCTTAATTTTTGTTATGCTAGAATTGTTCCAGATTGGTACCAGTTTCATCATAGCTGTTCTAGAAATAGTCAACCTTCTATATATCTCTCTGTCACACCCTGCGTCATTTGTTATTAGGAACCCCAGGTATATCAAACTATTGACTACTTCAAAGCCCCCAATTTCTTTAATGTGTTGAAGATTATTTCGAGCTCTGTCCACTATCATGACCTTTGTCTTACTCCTATTTAGTTTTAGTTTATATGTTTATCATATAGTGATCAGCATATCTCAAGTTACTGATTTTTTGACCTTATGCTGATATTCCACCCGTCTAGTAACTTTCACATAATGTGTTCGCTATAGATATTAAACAAAGCCACAAAGCATATAAGCATGGGAGTATTGAATTCACGAGTTTTTCGAATAGCCATCTGACATTAAGGATGTGTTCTCTTGTGCCTTTTCCTGGGACAAATCCCGCTTGTTCTATGAATATCTGAGGTAATAGAAAAGCTTCTAGTGTTTCATGTATTATATAAAGTAGAACCTTGCTTGCATGCTTGCACTTTTATAGAATGGTGAAAATTCTCATCTAACCAGATTTTTAGAGCAGTAATAAGCAAAATCCAAATAATAAAAATGATCACTCACTTTAGGACATTATTCAGCTTAAAAATGACAAGAATAAACGTAGAGAAGTTGTATTAGATCGATAACTACTTTGTGGTGATCCTTATCTAGCACAAGGCAACTTTGCAAATGGCTTTTAATGATTTTCCGGTTTAGTAGGAATATGACTTAAATTATTCGGTAACATCAAGCTATTACATGAGGGCTTAATAAGACGTAGATGGATCAAGTTAAAGAAAAATTCTTCCAATATCTTCAGAGACCAAAGGAATAAACATATCAATTTTTCCAACTAGGATAGTAACTTTTTGTTTACATTGTCAGTGCTAAAAGTTCAGAGAAAACACTATAGAAAAAAAAGGAAAAAAATAGAAGGGAATATTCAACCAGACTGACGTAGTAGATAAATTACTAGATACTAACTTCGAGCAAACTAAATTAAGGATAGATGGCATAAAAATAAGCTTTAAAAAATCAATAAGAGAA